TGGGTAAGGTACTTTTTAATTCTCCAAAAAATTCACATCCCCCCAAAATCCCACTTCGTATGTTTTCAAACCTGTAGCTACTTTTGATGCGTACTTCCTAAATTCCATTTTTATTATTTTAAAAAATATAGTACCTAGGAGCTCAAAGCTAAAAACAGCTTGATCAATATAGTACTCTTAAGGGAAAATCACTTATGCCTGTGGCTTTTCTTTATTTTCTTTCTGTCAGCTGTTTCTTCATGATTTTGTGGTTTTTATTAGTACTTGTAGCATAGAAGCTAAAATGTGTTTTTCTCACTTTAGTGACTTAATTATTACATTCAGATTTATAGGACAAGAGTTGAAGCAACAAGGGGTTGATAGGAATTTTTATGTATCTGTGTATTTTCCCCAACTTTATTACATGACTTGTTCAGGCTATTTTATCTAATTACATTTCACTCTAGGCAAAAATAGCAAAACAGCCAACCACCCGTCAGTGCTGCTGAGAACTCTGGCCCGTGCAGACATATTGGCTGTTTTACTTCTAACACCGTTCTGCTGTTCCTGTCCTGCTGTTGATGGATGTTTCTACCAGGGTTTCAGTATCAAATAAAAAGGATCTGTGGTCCCAGCACAGGAAATGGCTCTTGATAGCTTTGATTCTCCTGCATTTCCTTTATATTGATCCAGTGTTAATTTCACGTAGAGTTGTCTTTCTGTTTAACAGGATTCTCTTAAAATTCTTTGTTTAGTTTCCCTGCCAACTTTTCTTTGTCCAGGTTTCAGTATAAACTCTGCTTTATTAACAGAACCCTCTAGTAGTGACTTGTGGAGTGAGTTCTCTGAACATTCCTGTAAGTGTTGCTGATAGTGATAAATATTGCTGAAAGGGTCATAGGATTCAATGTACTGTTTTTACATATTCTTGAGACTTACTTAAAAAGGTTTTTACAAGTATCTTAACCTAAAGTATATACTGCACTATTTTAAAGACCAGTCTTCCGCAATTCCTCTGATAGAACAATAGCAAACTAGAATTAAACCAAACACATTTGAAGAAGCAAAGGAAGTGCAGACATTGGTAAAGAGATGAGCACTCACACAGTAATAAAAGCTTTCTGCAGCTCATCAATCAGAAATGTAAAATGTATATACACTTTGACCCACCAGTGCTACTTCTAATAAAATTCCTGTTGATTTGTATGCTCACTACATGTTGGCTTTTATATATATTCCTTCAGATTGAGGACTTCTAGAAAACATCTATCAAAAAGCAGCAGATTAAAAAACACAATTCTACTTATATTTGGGACTAGAAGGTCGTATGGGAAGGATGATCTTCGTACTGAGACCATACTGACCTGAGTTTCATTGATCAGATTAGAGACCCACTCCCCTTCCCTTCCCACTGGTTCCAAGTGCCTGTGACTTTCCTTCATGGCTCTGGCACCAGATCCTGATACCAGCAGGATTTGGGAAGGCTGCTTTTTGAAAGCCTTTTAAAATTCCACAACTTGGGCAAATAGCAGGAGAGTGATTTTAAGTTTCTTTAGAATTACAGGCTTTAGTCAGTATATGATGGAGCCTTTTCCCAGAAAAATGTTCATATAAAACTTTGCATGCAGTTTTAGGGTTTCAGAGACCCGTAAAGCCTAGCCATAGACATGGTTCATTGTCCGATCCTGTTTAAGTACCCGTTTAAAACCCTTTGGAGATGTTAGGAGTCACAACAGAGTATCTCTGAAAATGTAATTAGCAGAAAGAACATTTCAAAGACTGCTGTTCTGCTTAGACTTTCTAGTTTGTCTTCTGCCAGGCTTGCCAGAATAAATGAGTTTCCTGGCCTGGTGTTCAAAAGAATTGACATTTAAATTAGTCTCTCTCCTCCCATGTTTTCGCTTGGCACATCCTTGTCTCTACATTCTATCTCTGTGAACTTATTTCTTTCCAGAGTCAGCAGGATGTAGTGGCTGTTATTCCTTTCCCTCATCCTTCAAATACGTGCTTTTGATGCTATTTGCCTTTTTTTTTTTTGAGACAGAGTCTTGCACTGTCACCCCCAGGCTGGAGTGCAGTGGCATGATTCTCAGCTCACTGCAACCTCTGCCTCCCAGGTTCAAGCGATGCTCCTGCCTCAGCCTCCCGAGTAGCTGGGATTACAGGTGCCCGCCACCAAGTCTGGCTAATTGTGCATTTTGGGTAGAGATGGGGTTTTACCATGTGGGTCAGTCTGGTCTTGAACCCCTGACCTCAGGTGATCTGCCCACTTCAGCCTCCCAAAGTGCTGGTATTACAGGGATGAGCCACCATGCTCGACCTACTATTTGCTGTTTTAATTTCATGAAATATTCCCTTTTCTTGGCTTACATGTCAGTTTTCTTGTTGAACAGCATGCACAGTGAGTAGAATGTTATAAAAAGGCATGAACTTTGGAATCAGAGAGACCCAGGTTCCTGTTCAGTGTTGCAGAAATGCTGTTCTGCAATAGGCTAGTTGTCAGTGGGCAAATTACTTATCTCTCAGAGGCTTATTGGTAAAGTGTGAGTGATATCTCCTTTTAGGCACTTTGAAGAGGCTATCTCCTAATCCTGTAGAGGACCTGGCATTTAAAAGTGGTTGTGATGACAGTTGTAGCTAGCCATTAGCATAGCGCTGGATCCATGGTGGGGAAGTGTTGCACATGCAGTATCTCTTAGACTTTACAGTGTCCTCATCAGTTAGGAACTGCTCTAACATGAGGATAGGGGTGAGGAAATTAGACTTCCTGCCCCTAACTGCCTTCCACTCGTCTCCAAGTTAATGGCAACAATGACACTGCTTTGGCTGGATCACCATGGAAGATTCTCACTAGCCAAATTTATTGCTATCTTAGTTAAATTATGCCAGAACATAAAATGTGAATAGTTATTGTCAAAGCAATATCATCTCAGCTGTAACTTGGATAGTCAGAAAGTATCTGTAATCTAGGGTAATCCTATCTGAAACATAGCTGAGAATAAACAAGAAATAACGATAATTCCATAGCAAATATTGGTGACACGAAGTCGTATGTTTTGACTACTTAAGCTAGGTCTTAAATGTTTCCACTAAAATTTTCAAATTTAAGGGCATAGCCCAGGGTAGCTTATTATGAACATGATATATTTTGGAAATCTTACATTTTCTCCTAAAAGTTCTTGGGAGGTGCATCTGAGGCTGTAAATAACCAAAACCATTTTTAAAAAATAAAATGCATTTTTTAAATTCCTCCAAATTTTAAAAAATAATTGTTGCAGGAAAAGATGCTAAACCTAGTTTTTAGCTTTGTACCCCAACTATATTTCCAAGATGTACTTTAGCCTGGGAACCATACAGAACCATACAGAATTAGTTCTAAGAATTTATTGTCTACTTACTTTTGTATTTGGTACAGTTATAACAGGGTTGATTATATGGTTTCTAAAGCATGACTAGAAAGAAATATGTCTATCAGTTATTTCTTTGATCTAAATTAGGAGGAGCTAGGGAAAGGGCTTCAACAGGAAGTTACATACTTTACAGAAAAGTGATCATTGATAGCCAAATTGTGTAGGCATCTCAACCCTGTAACACAGATTCTGTCTGTCTCTGGGATCATACACTATGGGAAGAATCTTTGCAAGCAACATTCTACTTACAGGGAGCCGTAACAAGAGTTTCATAAACTGGCTAAATTTTCTTTGGGATATTCTGTCTAGTATGGTGCATTGTCTAATGGATTTCACATAGCTGAGAGCTGATCATCCTGTAATCTGTGGGAAAATGTCCTCTCTGGCTAAAACTTTGTTGTAATTCCTTTAACTCCTCAGCTTTCATTTTCTACAGGTTTGTTTTTTGTTTTGTTTTTGTTTTTTAAACATTTCCCTCCTCTGATTCACTCCTTTTGTTCTCATTTTCGTGGCCTGAGCACATGGTGATGCTAGGACTATTCTTTTCACAGGTTCTTAACAATTTTCTTTTCAAGTATCCTATCATTGAGTTCATCTGTGTATTAGAGAAGTCTCCCTTACATTTCATTTTTATATGTTTTCTTTCTCATCAAGAGATAGTTTGTAGCCATTTACTTTCAAATCCAAGTTTCTGTGGTTCTTAAGACCTTTATCATTTGTCCTGTTAATTTCACTTCATTTCCTCTTTAAAACGTGTCCTCTGTTTCCCATCTTCTGCAGCCACTTTCCTGTTCCCTGTTCGTTTAATTTGGCAAGGACCACTCTGTGTTGGGAATTTTCTCTTTTTGAAAGCTCAACTAACAACCTAACTTCTAGGAAGTTTTTTGTTGCTACTATTATCAACTTATATCATCTTACCCTCGTTTTTGCAACCCTCTGTTAATAACATATTTATATAACTATAGTTATTAGCAACCTGGGATCATTTTACTTGGTTACATGGGAACACATGTATCTACCCAGCACAGTTTTAAGGCATGTGAGACCTTTGTTTGATTGCCATCCTAACATAGTACCAAGTCCTAAAAACTCATTAGTAAAGATAAAATGTCCTTGCCTTTTGCTTAACATCTACATATACACACACACAATATTTAGTTGCAGTTCACAGTTATTGCACACACAATATTTATTGCACACACAATATTTAGTTTTTGCACGCACAATATTTAGTTGCAAAATTATTGCACACACAATATTTAGTTGCAGTTCACAGTTTCACTTGGCCATTTTTTTGTTTATAATTTCCCCTTTCTCATTAAAAAAGCCATTGTTTTCTAAGCTTTAGGAATTAGAGAAGCTCATTTTATTCCCTATACATGCTGCTGCTGGATTATTTAGGTCTTTTGTGGCTGTGTTTTATCTTTCAAACTAAAACCCTTTCAAGAAATACAAAACAAAACAAAACTCAACAGAATATTTATATTTTTTAAATACCTGGGGTTGATTTAAAGAAATTTTAAACATCCTAATCACAGTATTCTCAAAGCATATTTCCAGTACAACCTGTGAAGAGCTCATGTATGCACTCACGGGGTCCTGTCTCTGCAGTTGACTGGATCATTGCCGACATCTTGGCCATCAGGCAGAATGCGCTTGGACATGTGCGCTATGTGCTGAAAGATGGGTTAAAATGGCTGCCGTTGTATGGGTGTTATTTTTCTCAGGTAACTTGTTTCCATGCTTTTCTCTCTATATATGTAGTCTATAATTTTGGGGGTTTGGGGGAGGGGGAGACATCTCACTTGGTTGCCCAGGCTGAGTGCAGTGGTGTGAACACAGCTCACTGCAGCCTTTACTGCCAGGGCCCAAGTGAACCTCCTGTCTCAGCCTCCCAAGTAGTTGGGACTGTGAGTGCCCACCACCATGCTCGACTACACTGTGTATTTTTTGTAGAGATGGGGTCTTACTGTGTTGCCGAGGCTGGTCTTGGACTCCAGCAATCTGCCTGCTTCATCTTCCCAAAATGCTGAGATTATAGGTGTGAGGTGCCACATTCAGCCCTATTTTATATTTTAAAATTTAACATATACTTAATGTAAATATGTGGTTTTTAAAATGGGTTTAATAGTTTATTCTCAATTGAAGTAATTTTAATTGGTATTTTTAGTGGTATGTATTCATATACCTGTCTAATTATCCATAAACTTTCCTTCAGCATCTATGGGGACTGGTTTTAGGACCACCACAGACCAAAATCTACAATGCTCAAGACCCTCGTATAGAATGGCATAGTATGTGCATGTAACCTACGGACTACTTTAAGTCATCTCTAGATTACATATAATATCTAATACATTATAAATGCCATGTAAATGGTTGTTATACTTTATTTTTTTACTTGTATTATTTTGTTATATTATTTTCACTTGTTCACGTATTTTGATCTGTGGTTGTTCAATCTGCAGATGTGGAACACATGGAAATGAAGAGCCAGCTGCAGTAAAAGTAAATGAAAGAGCAAACATGCAAATGTACAAAGATTAAACAAATAGGAACTTTAAAGGCATAGAATTTGATACACAATTACATTAAGAAACTATTGTTAACAGTAATTAGTCGTCCATATGATATTTTTAAAATAGTGAGCGATATATATAAAGTGCTTAGCGTGAAGAAACTTATTTCTCCAGTTCTGGAAGCTAGACACCAAAGATAAGGTGTTGACAGGATTAGTCTCCCCAAGCCTCTCTCTCTGACTTGCAGGCAGCAGCCAGCCTTCTTCCTGGGTCCTCATGTGGTTTTCTCCCTGTGCCCAAGCAGCCCTGGCACTGCTTCCTCTTCTTTGAAGGACTAGTCACACTGGATGACTGATTCTTCTGCAAAGCCTTCTAAGGTCCCACTCTTAGGCCCTTTTTTAACCTTTATTAGCACCTCTAAGTCCCTCTCTGAATACAGTCACAGTGGGAGCTATTAGAGCTTTAGTAGACCGACTTGAGGGAACACAGTTCTATCCATAACAGCACCACATAAATATCTGTAGCAGGACTGATTTTTTAAAAAATACCTAAAGACCATGAGTATTGACATTTTAAGGACTTTTTAGTGACACTGTAATAAGTGGGTGGAAAAATTGGGAGTTAAATCCATCTGATTGATCACATTTTTTATTTTTAAAAATGTATATTTAAGAAAGAAGGCATTTTCATTTTAACTGCCAACAAAAATAAAGTTTATATATTTTCCAGTACAGTGGCACATGCAGTTTTCTTGAATTGAGACAAGGTAATTTTCAGCTGAGTGTTCTTTAGAAGCTAATATTTGAAGGTATTAAATACAGATTAAATTCTGAAATGTAGTTTGTATTCTGTACTTTTTGAAAGAAAAGTTGCCTTTTTGATGACTGCAGCCAATCGTTATTTTAAAAGTAAACCCTTATTTCTCCTGTTTATATTGTGGCAGCATGGAGGAATCTATGTAAATCGAAGTGCCAAATTTAATGAGAAAGAGATGAGAAACAAGCTGCAGAGCTACGTGAACGCAGGAACTCCAGTAAGCACCTACCCACTTCTGTTCTTCCTACCACCTCTCGGTTTCTACATTTAAGAATTAAATTCAAATCTCAGAATTGTTTTGAAAATGTATTTTCCCATGTCTCATTACTAATTCAGAGTTATGCTGAGGTAACAGAAACCTTTCAAATATAGGTAAGCAGGTTTTTCAGCCATCAGAAAGATTGCTGTAAGCAACGAGGTCCTTTGCTGGTCAGTGTGAGAGGAATTAAGAGAACACTTGGTGTCTTTCACAGTCTATAAATAGGACTAACTGCATTTTCACCTGACATTTAAGTACTTTAAGAGCTCATCTTGTCTTCTTTAGTATCAGATTTAGTTTTAGAAGCAGCAACTGTTTTTTGTCACTGTAAATTTGGAATGTCTTACATATACAGAAAAAAACAAAAAAGTGTGAATATCCACAAATGTAAAATCATTCAGCGTAAGTAATATTTTATAAAACTTTGTTCCACAAAAGTGGGGGGAGTTCCTTCTGCTATGTGTAGAATGCTGATTGCTGCCAATGGCTTTTCCCATGGTTCCCTCCTAAGACAAAGCACCATGAGCACGTGACTACTTGGCTTTCTCTTTCAGTGCATAACATGTGCTCAGAAGCTTAGCTCATGTGCACAGGATTTCCCTTTCCTCTCTTGCCCCCTCCCTCCATCTTCCCCCCTCTCCTCTTGCCCTCCCTTCACCGGGGTCCCTGGGCAGCCATTGGAGCTCATGGTGAAGGAAGACTTCTTCATGGTCAGCTGGTTAAGTGCCCACTGTGAGCATTGTTTATTCACGCTTCTTCTAGGTGTCTTTACGTTAGGACATTGCATCCTATTCTGAGCATGTGTGGGGTGACAAGCAGAATGGAATAAGATGAATGGTAACCCTTTATCCTGTTATAGCTCAGCCTTGAGAACCAAGCTTGGTGTCTTCTAAGGGTCTGGTTAGTCTGAAACAGTGTGGTGAATTTGGGCAGAATTGTGGCATTGTATGTAGATCTCCAAAAGACAGAATGGGTTGGTAATATGTTTAGCAACCTTCTACAAAACATTAAAATTTAACAATCATGAATTTTTACCTTAAAACGTCCATCCCACTTCTTTCCCAGCTGTCCAGTCACCCAGCCACAGATGACTGCTGTGGAGTTTCTTCTGTGTCCTGCTATGGAAATTGTATATATGAAGCAAACAAAGATAGCTACCTCTTGGGTGAATGTTGGTGTTTTATACACAGTGGCCCCTTGCTTTTTTGGCCCCATAAATATAGCTGTCAGTAGCGCTAGGACTGAGAAAATCAGCTCTGCACACTTGTCATGTGTCTGTTTCTCTAGCTGCCTTCATGAGTTTCTCTCCTTGTTTATGGTTTGCTGCAGCTTAAGTATAATATATCTGAGTGTCATTAAAAAAAAATTTACCTTAATTGGTCCTCTGAGCTTGGATTTATGATTTGGTACCTGTTATTAATTTTGGAAATTTCTTTGCTCTTATTTCTTTAAATATTATTCCTACTCTATTTTTTCTTCTCCAGTTGTGTTTGTGTTGGCTCATTTGTTGCTGTTCTTTAGTTCTTGGATGCATTGTTTGTTTTTGTTTTGTTTTATGCCCCCCTCCCTTTTTTCTTTTTGCGTTATAGTTTGGATAATTTCTGTTGACCTATCTTCAAGTTCAGGGATTCTTCCTTTGGCTTTGTTGAGTCCACTGATAAACCAGTTGAAGGCACTCTTCATCTCTGTTACTGTGTGTTTCATTCCTTGCATTTCCCTTTGATTCTGTTTCACAGTTTCCATCTCTGTGCTGAGACTATCTATCTGATGGTAAACCTTTAACATTTTATTATACTTGCAGTTATCTTAAATTACCTGCTTGATAATTCCAACATTTGCACCATATCTGAGTCTGGAAATTTTGATTGCTTTGTCTCTTCAGATTGTGCTTTATCTTGCCTTTGTTGTACTTCCTAACATTTTGCTGAAAGCTGGGCCTCTTTTGTAAGACAGGAGAGATGGAGGCAAGTTGCCTTGATACCTGGAAATGGATAGATTTGTCTTTCTGCTCAGGTTTTAGTGTTGAGGAGTTGAGTCAGTCCACTCAGGAGTTGCACTGGATTTGGGTTCTGCTACTGTACTTTTTCTCACAGGCTTCGGGTTTCTGTAGCACTCATTACTTTGTGTGTAGGTGGGAGATGTCCTCCCATAGAGCTTTTCCTCAGTGTCTGTTCCACACTCAGCATTTTCACATGGCTCCTCAGACTGGCTCTCCTCTTTGTGCCTTTCCCCACTGTACTTCGCTGACACTTGTTACTGAACTCGTTAGTTTGATGGTAGAAGGAGAAGGAAGGGAAGTGTCTTTTTATTCTTCAGGAGAATCTCGGGGGTGGAGCCTTCTCTGACCTTGCCTTGCTTCTGGCTGGAAGTCTGTGCCCAGGTTGTATTCCTGCCTTCTGTAGAGTCTTTTCCCCTGTTCTCATCCCCCAGCCTCACATGGAAAGCAGGGTTTTGTTGCCCCTGTTCATCAATTTAAGGCTGTTGTTCGGTAAGAAGGATAGAGGGAAGATCTGGGCTGGGCCCTGAGCCTTTCCCACGGGGCTCCTGCCCCTCCCACAAGCCTACATCCAGTCTTCCCCAACCCCAGTATGTTTTCCTTTTTCTTTCTTTTTCTTTTGAGTACACAGAAGGTCTGTGGGTAGGGCCTGTGAATTGTGGTACATTCTCCTTGTCTGTAGCCCAGGGGTTCTTCTGTTCCACTGGCTTATACTTGGCTTTCTGCAAAATTGTTAAAATTTTTAGCCAAATTCTTTTTTGCTGGCATCTGTTAGCATTGGCCCTCAAGTACACAAGTGCTTGCATTTTGTTTCACCTTCGAGTTTTCTGTCTTTCCTTAAACTTTTGGGTTAGCTGGCTGCCTTTTAACCTTTCAGCTCTCTGAAGGGTCCAAGAAAAGTCATGAACCTACAGATTGTCCGTGTTGCTGCTGTAGGGTTGGGAGCAGTATCCCTTCAGCATTCTACATACTTCATGGATGCAGCCTCCCATTTTTGGTTAATAAATTTCAAAACTTGGAAAACTTTAGATTTATAAAAATGTTACACAAAAAGAAGAGATTGTTCCTATTTACTGTTCATCTGGGTTTAGTGGTAATATCCAATGGTGACCTTATATAACAGTGCATTTGTCAAAACTAAGAAGTAAATTCATACCGCACTATTAATTGTACTACAGATTTTTATTCAGACTTCGCTAGGTTTTCCACTAATGTCCTTTTTCTGTTGTAAAATACAATCCAGAATGTATACAAATCCATTCAGCTCCAGTGTTTAAAATTTATTGCTTTTCATTATATAAGCGCTATATGGTTTTTGTCAAATCTGTGATTTTGGTTTTAACCTTCAAGCTTGTCTTTGTTTCTTTAAGTGTTAAAGGCATTATTTAAAAGGTGTGTTGGGTTATTTCAGTGCCTGAAGTGTCTGAGTCTGCTGTTTTCTGCTGGTTCTTGCTCATGGTACTTTCTTTCCTTATTTGCTTTGTTATCTTCCTTTGCTGCTGGTTGTATTTTGTAAGTTTGCAGAAATCAGTTGAAGCCTCAGGTGAAAGTGTCTTTCTCCAGAGAACATTTGTACCTGTTTTAGCTGGACCCCTTAAGCCTCCCCTAGTCTGGACCCCACCCAAACCAAATTCTGAGTTGGAGGCGAACTGAGCCAGCCATTCAGGCAGTACAGCCACGGTTGCAAATCCACATGAGACCTGCTCACCTCTAATTTACTTTCACTCCGAGAGTGGAGCCTTTGGTGTTTCCTTTACTTCTGGTCTCTCTTCACATTTCTCTTAGAAGGTCTATGGGCTTCCATTTCTGTTCCCCTCGTCGTTTGAGTCTTATAAAACAAAGTTCTGTTTTACGCTTACTTCTGCTTTACTGTGTTTGCTTAATTTTGGTCTTAACATCTTGCCAACTCTTGGATACTTTTAAAATAATGTTATATCTAGCTTTTTAATTTGTTTTCAGTAGGAAGGTTGGTTCAAATAACCTAGTCTATTATGGTCTACCAGAAGAGCCTTCCTGTGTTTTGTGGGCAAAATTCCAGCCTTTTATGTTCCTAGCACAGTATGGATAACAGACTGGCAGGCTCAGGAGGCAGTGCTGAGCACTGTCACTGTAGGGTCACTGTCCCAGATCGGGTTTCTAAGAATCTGGATGGCTGTTTGATTTCTTAATATGGAAGCGCTGTGAAAGAAGACACATCTTGCTCAGGTTCTTTATGACTCTTGTTTCTGAAGGTGAATTAAGTAAGTGACATGGTGGAATCTGTGAAGTCAGCTTTCATGTGGCTTAATAGTTCTCATCAGTCTATTTCATGATTATATCAGTTCTTACTTGGCATTAGTATTATTTGAAAAATGCAGAATTTTGTTTTAAAAATATATTTGTATTATAAATTATGAAGAAATACATCTTCATAATTATTGCTGGGACAATGCAATAGTTTGATAAGGTACTTATTGGTTGTGGATGCAAATGAAACATATTTGTGATAAACATAATTATACTTACAGAAGTCATTTGTTAGAGTATGAGCTAGTAAAACTTATGACACAAATATGAAGACTTACACTTTTTCTTCTAACTTTCACTTAAGTTTGTTTTCAGATGTGAGGCAGCCTGGTCTATGAGAGTATTGGTTTTGAAATTAGATTTGGTTTTCAATCCCAGATCTGCTGTTTAATCTTTTTTATTTCAGGTAGATTTTCTGGATAACTTGCTGCAGTTTATACAGCAGTACTTGCCACTTCAGTTTTATGTTATGGAGAGATGGCTTCTTTCCTTAAACCTCATGGACCAACCCCTGCTAGCTTCTGACTTTTTTTTCTGCCGCTTCCTTACCGCTCTCAGCCTTCATAGAATTAAAGAGAGTTAGGGCCTTGCTCTGGATTAGGATTTGCCTTAAGGGAATGCCATGGCTGGTTTGATGTTTTATCTAGAGCACTCAAACTTTCTCCATATCAACAATAAGGTTCTTTTGCTTTCTAATCATTTGTGTGTTCAGTGAAGTAGCACTTTTAATTCTCTTTAAGGACTCTTCCTTTGCATCTACAACTTGACTGTTTGGTGTAAAGGGCCTAGTTTTTGGCCTGCCTCGGCAGCAGACCTTCCTCACTAAGCCATTTCTAGCTATTAATGTAAAATGAGAGACGGGCAACTCCTCCTTTCGCTTGAACACTTAGTGGCCATGGTTGGGTTATTAAGTGGCCTAATTTCAATATTGTTGTGTCTAGGGGAATAGAGAAGTCAAAGGGGTAGGAGAGAGAGAGACGGGAATGGGCCACCAGTGGAGCAGTCAACACACATGACATTTATCAGTTAAATTTGTCATCTTATATGGGTGCAATTCATGGTACCCCCCCAAACAATTACAGTAGTAACATCAGAGATGACAGATCACAGTAAGATATAATAACATGAAATATTGTGAGAATTACCAAAAGATGACACAGAGATGTGAGGTGAGCACATACTATTGGCAAAATGGCAGCAATAGATGCTTGATGCAGGGTTGTCACAAACCTTCAAATGGAAAAATGCAGTTTCTGTGAAGCTCAGTAAAGTGAAGCATGATCAAATGAGGGGAGCCTGTCACTCCTAAGAATGTTCCTTTACAAGTTTTTTGCATCTGTGACTTGCCTTTTCCAATTTATAAATCGTGTCTTTTTTGAGAACATTTTAAAATTTTTTATAAATTTATATGTATCTTTTGAAGAACATACTTTTAAGCTTATTTTTTTCCTCTCATATTTTCTGCATTTTGTATCCTATTTAAGAAGTCCTTGCCAAACTCAAGGTTGCTAAGATTTTCTCCTATGATTTATTCTGGAAATTTGAGAGTTTTGCTTTTACATTTAGGTCTAGAATGTATTTCTAATTAATTTTTTATATGCTGTAAGGTCGAAGTATTTTTTTTAAATATAGATAACCATCACTGCAGAAAAGATTATTTTCCCCCAATGTTTGAAATAAGTAGACTGAATATAAATGGCTGTATTATCCCTAGATCAGTGGACTATTTGTTCTGTTACATTGATCTATGTCTGTATCCTTATGCCAGTACCATACTGTCTTAATAAAACTCACTTTATAATAAGTTTTGAAATACTGTAGTTTTCTTCTAAATTTGTTCTGTCTTTTCAAAGTAGTTTTGGCTATTTTGGGTTCTTTGCATTTCTATATGAATTATAGAATTAGATTGACAATTAATGTTCGTGGGCTTTTCATTTTGATTGTATTGAATGTATAGATGAATTTGGGAAGAATTGATATAGCAGGATTGAATCTTTGGATTTATGAACATAGCCTACATTTGTTTACTTAGGTCTTCTTTGTTTATCTCAGTGTGTTTTGTACTTTAAATGTGCATGTTTGCACACGTTTTGCCAGGTGTATTCCCTAAGAATTTTAGTTTTTGATGCCATTGTAGATGACATTTAAAAATTTTTTGAGTTTCTGATTGTTAACCTAGGCATATAATTGACTTACTTATTGTCTAGTAACTTAAAATTATATATTTCTTAGGATTTCCTACATAAACAATCATGTCATTGTTATAGAAATAACAATTTTACTTTGTCCTTTTTAACCTTGATGACTTTTATTTTATCTTGCTAAATTTTCTGTCTAGACCTCCTAGTACAGCCTTGACTAGAACTGGTGTGAGGGAAATCCTTTCCGTGTTCCTCATCTTTAGGGAAAAGCACTCATTCTTTTACACATTCTTTAGGTCCTAGCCCCGTCACCCTTCCTAAATTCCCTCTCCTCATTTTTCTTCATGTCACCTTGTTCTTTTTCTTTGCAATCATATCATGATATGTAATTACATGTTTTAATTTATCTGTTTAACGTGTTTCTTTTCTTCACTTGCCTACAAAGACCATGAAGGGAAGGACCTTATGTGTTGTTATTTTGTATGTAGTTCCTGGAACATAACAAGTATATAAGAAATAGTTCTGAATTAGTTCTGAATGAATTCATGCTTTCTTGCTGTCAATGTTTTACATTAAACACCTGAGACACAGCAAATAATACCATATGAGTTATTATTAACCTTTGAAATAATCGTTTTATTTTTAAATGATTGAGTTGCTTTCATGGCTTTGAATGTAAGCCTTACTGGTAGAAAATACATTTTCATGAAAATGAATGTTTGGTTTTTAGAATTAGCTTTAATAATTGTCTTCCTGTTTTTTTTTCTAGTTGCTGGAATATAATTAGGAATTCTGCATTTTTTCCTAATTTTACCCATTTTTTAACATTTTCTTAACAGATCTGATCAAACTTCATTATGAAATATAAAGATATGTAATATAATCTGTTAATTTCTAAGTTAGGCATGGGTTCTGAAGACTATTAGATGAATGAACAAAAAGCATGCATAACTGCATGGAAGGTGAAAATGCATAATTTTCAGATACCATTATACCAGTATCTAAAGGAAAAATTCAGTCCCACATAGGTTTTTAAGTAGGAGCTTTATAATCATAGACATCCCAATGAGGACCGAATGAGATACGTACAGAGGTGGACGGTATTGTCTGAATAGCGTCTGAGATCTGGCAGGAATGGACTCAGTGAACACAGTTTTCTCCCATCAGCTCCCGTCTTGTTTCCTGTATTCTGTTTATATTTGAAAAGGTTTGCTATGAATATCTTAATTTTGTCTTCTGGCTGTCAAAGTTATTAGTGTAGTTTTTGTAACTCAGTTCTTAAAGTTAGGAGTTTTGCTGTATAATTTTAATGTTTCTGTTTTTACTTTCTCAAGCAGGTAAGTGTAAAAACTTAGACTAATTGATTACTTAGTAAACACCCAGCTTGATATTCTTTATATTATTTTAGTTTCAGTTTACATAACAAATAAGATTCTTTATTTATAAAGAAAAAATTTAAAATTTAAAATTCACTAAAGGAGCTGTGTAAAATAGGAATTCTGTGTGAAGCTGTTGAATATGAACACTTAAAACCTTTTACATGGTAGAAATTTAGTATATGAGTTTCCTCAAATGAGGTACTTTTTAGTGTTGGTACTTAAGGATACTGATTTCTAAAATTTGTACTTCTAAAAATGCCATATTACAGGATCTTGACAAGGAAAAAACTCAGTAATTGAGGCTTTGTATGAGTCTGCATTTCATGACCTATTTTTAATTAGTGAACTATTAGCATGTAATTAAAAATGTTTTTAGATTCTTCATGGTTGACCTACCAATGAATGTAACACTGCATTTAAAATATAGTCTATGCTGTGTTCAAACTTAATTGAATTGTTGAATTTTGGTTGCTCTGCTTGAAATGAAGGTCACATGTAAGTGAATAGACATTTTCTCTTAATGTAGGAAATACTTTCTTAGCATTAGTAGGTTTAGCTTTTTTAAGTTAACAACAGTAACAATAAAGCTCACACAAAATAAACTTAATTTCCTTTATGTCCCACAGATGTATCTTGTGATTTTTCCAGAAGGTACAAGGTATAATCCAGAACAAACAAAAGTCATTTCATCTAGTCAGGCATTTGCTGCCCAACGTGGTAAGTAAAAATTTGACAGTGTTTGAAGAAATAATTTTTAAAGATAGTAACATTTTTAGTTTTTCTGCTTGGAAAAGATAGTTTTGTTTTACAATTGAAAGAATGAATATATTCATTTCTTGAATTAATGTACATATTATCTCTTAGGAAATGAAGTTTCTTCTCCTTAATTCATTTGCATGCTCTTATTACATGTATCTGAGAAATTAAGTTTAACTGCCTGTTATGATACATATTCCTGTGCCATGGATTTATTTAAAATCTAAGTACATGATTATGTAGATGGAGGCTTTTTCTACAGTGGGGGTTACGTGTGATGGAGTTTCTGTTTTGTAAGTTGACAGACTGTTGGAGTCCAAACTCTGATTTTTATTAGCTTTGTCATTGCAAGTTGTGTAATGTTGCTGAGCTTGTTTCTTCATCTCCTAAAAGAACATATGCCTTATATGTAGATTCTGTGTGAGAATTCAGTTAGGAAATATGTCAGGCTCCTAATGGAGAACTTACACAAAGTTGGCTGACAGTGCTTGGAAGCTATTAATGTCCTCAACAAGGGTAACGTTCTTCACATCCATATTTTAGAAAATTGGATAACTGATACAACCGATAAGCTATGCAATTTAACCAAATTGGGTAGTATACAGAAAACAGTGGCTTTGCTATGTTCTCGTGTCTTTGAAGCTTGACTGTGGCTTAGTATGTGATCTCCATGTTGATTGTCAGACACTAACTGAGCAAATACCTCGTTTGTGACGTTATGCCAGGGCTTATGACAATGCTATCAAATGGAACTTTCTGCAATCATGGTAAAGTTCTTTATCTGCTCTGTCCAGTATGCTGGCTCCTACCAATGTAGATGTGGAGAATTCAACATGTGACTAGTGAATAAAATAAATTTTTAATTTTATTTAATTTTAGTTTAACTAAAATAAGGGGAAGCTTTTACAAGGTGCTTACAAGAGAAGATATGTCATATACATTTAACAGTACATTTGTAACAGTACATTTAACAAATGTTAGTTTGGCTGGGTACAGTGGCTCACGCCTGTAATCCCAGCATTTCGGGAAGCCAAGGTGGGTGTATCACCAGAGATCAGGAGTTCGAGACCAGCCTGACCAACAGGGAGAAACTCCGTCTTTACTAAAAGTACACAAAATTAGCTGGGTGTGGTGGCACATGCCTGTAATCCCAGCTACTCGGGAGGACGAGGCAGGAGAGTTGCTTGAACCCGGGAGGTGGAGGTTGCAGTGAGCCGAGATCATGCCATTGCGCTCCAGCCTGGGCAACAAGAGTGAAACTCTTGTATTAAAAACAAAACAAAAAAAGCCTGGTTTGTTTTTAAACACATGTCCTGATTAAGGAGTGGTGCAGAATACAAGGGCTCAGTTTGTCCCCCAATCTGTCAGCTCCCTTTTGACTTTGACTGCTTCCTCTATCTAGTGTAGATGCCACATTCTGTCATTTCAGTTGCTCTTTTGCAATGCCATTGTCTCTATTGCCCTTTTCACATTTATTAAACACAACAAAACAAAAATCCCCTCTCTCAAATTTATGTTTTCCTCTTCCTAGCACCCACTTTACCCCCTTTCCTTAACAGCCAAAGCCTTCTGAATCTGTAGTCTACCTTTGTTGTAAGCACTTTTTTTCAGTTCTCTGCTCTCAATTTGTTGTGGTCTGATTTGAAATTCTCTCCCTAGCTTCAGTGGGGCTGTTCTCCATTCTCCTCCCATCTCTCTGGCAATTATTTCCTGGCTTCCTTTCCAGCCTCCTGCTTCATCTTTTCCTGTTTCATGTGTTATTTCCAATGTTAGGTTTTGGTCTTTAATTAATTTCATTTTTTTTGTTTCTCATGGTGGCCTTCCTCTAAATCCATGGCATTAGCCACTGTTTACTTGACTGCTGATGACTCACAAGAGCTTCCTCCCCTCCATATCTCTCTGCCTACCTCTACAACCATCTGCAGTTGTCCACTAGAGAGCTTCACTTGACTGGCCCAAAGGGATGTCTTAAACTCAGCATATGGAAGATAGAATTTATCCTTCCACATGTATACTCATATTTCTTGTTTTGGTGACTCTGTCATTCAGTTTTTTTGCCTCAGTTTCGTTCACAAAAAGAATAAACTGGTAGAAACTTAGACATGGAGGAAGAAGCTGTTCACAGGGGTCCTGCAGAAGTGCAGGCCTGCAGTAATATTCCAACTCTCCTCAGCTATACAAAGAGTTTAACTAATTAGAATCATTTTAGATATTTGGCTTTCCAGAGGTTAGTAAGGAATTTGGAATTAAATATATCTTAATCTGCCTCCTGAACTCATTAAAGTGAGCCCCTATAGTGTTTTGTTTTGTTTTGTTTGTTTTGTTTTAATGCTATGGTTAAAACCGTAGTAGCCAGTGAAGGTGACATACTTAAGCTTTTTGAACTCTTATAGACACATCACTAAATTTCTGTTTCCTATTATAACGGCAAACCAGATACCTAGAATTTTCATGTTATTCATAGAATCAAAGCTTATCTGTTACTTCAGATCTATGAAACTTAGCTTTCATTCTGTGAATAACACTGGCCATTGTAGAGATTTGAGAGTCCTTTCAAAATGTGAGAACAAAGGAATAAGCTACAAAGCAATTTTTTTTCTTTGTTGACCTAACTGAATAAAAATTATTATGTCTAAAGCATCATATGAACAAATTTAGTTGGCAAATGGTAAGCTAATAATATTTGATAATATGGTAATTCCTAGTTAGTATATTACAATTAGTAAGACATAAACTAGAAAAAATGGGAAAAAGGCATGAATAAGAAATTCAAGAGATACAAATGAGACCCACACACTTGAACAAATGTTTATTCTTTCTCATAATCAAGGAAATAGAAATTGAATGAATACTTTGAAGCCAACTTCTGAAAGCATAGCAAACAAAAAGACTAGTGCTCAGCTGTGGGTGGTGATGGCACTCCCACCCTTCTGCCCGAAGTGTAAGAAGGTATGTTTGCTTCCTATGGCTGTTCTCAGGAAGCGCCACAAACTTGGTGGCTTAAAACACCAGAGATTTATTCTCTTACAGTTGAGAAGTCTGAAATGGGTCTCACCCGGCTGAAATCAAGGTGTTGGCAGGGCTGCCGTCCTTTGTGGGGGCTCTGGGGGATCCTGTTCTACGCGGGTTTCCTGTGCTTGGCTGAATGCTCTGCTTTCACCACCTTGAAGTTTGTCTGGAAATGGTACTGGGTCGCCCACAGCATGCAGCTGACTTGGTTCTACCTCCTCCTCACTCACTCTAAACCTGTGTTTTTGGGTCATTTCTAACCTCTTTTGTTGGCCCTTCTGTGGCTTTCAGGGCCTTCTGCAGCTCTTGCTTGCCCAAGTCCTGGGGTCGGCCCATCCCGATGCTGAGCCGTTCTGTTCCTGCCCTACCTTTCCTCAGCCCTTGGCAGCCCTGCTTGTTTTCTCCCTTCCCTCAATGGAGAACATCGTAAGTAATGCTGACTGCCTTCTACAGCCAAGCCATGCCATTTAATTTCAGCTGAGCCAAGTCCGTGTTTAGCAGCTCTTTTATTTTTCTCCTTTTGACTACCTCTTATGGTTTCATGGATTTTTTTCTCCTCACATTCAAGGAATTTTTTGCCTTCAGAAAGTTATGTTTCTCTGGAAAGAGTGTACCCAATATCCCTTTTGATTTCAAAATCTTAATGTGGACTCTCTTGACTTGGATTTCTTTCGAAGAAACTGCTGAATCTAACATGTCTAAGAAGAGAACTTTGGAGAAAAATTTTCCTCTTAGACACGGTGGCTTCAACAGTTTGTAAGCTCTTGACGCCATCTGTGCCGTCTCCATCATTGCCTCAGTCATCTTCCTTCTTCTCTGCTGGGGTTTCTCCCCAGTTTGCACGTAGTCCAATTCGGACATAACCGAGTCTACAGCTGTGCAAACAGAAGATTGGGACTCTTTCCTTTCTTTCTTGTATTTGACTCCATCTACTCTCCAGAAATGTGTCCCACCTCTAACTTACCCGTGACCTCCGAAGCATCCTATCATTTGTGTCAGTTGTCATATTTGTTAACTTTCATGTAACTTCTGACATTATGTATAACTTTATTTTATAACCAGGAAACAATTTTTAGTTATTGTAGAAATAAACAATGGAATATAATTTTTCTTTATAAAGATAACTATCACCTTCTCTTCCTTTAAACATTCTTTCCTTGGTTTTTGTATTACATTGGCTTTTCTCTTCTTCTTTTCCTGACTTGCCCTATTTCCTGTTATTATTTTTATCTTTTTTTAATGTGGATGTTTCCTAAGTCTGTATTTCTGGCCTTTTCATCTTCTACCCTTTACTATTCTCAACCACTGCCATCACTGCAGTCGTCTTATCCATTCACATGATCTCCACATGCTTATCTTTGGTTTCTTGCCATTTTACAGACCATATTTCCAACTCCTTCTAGAATGTTTTATTACCTCAGCTCAGTGTGCCCAATGTGAACTCATCTCTCTCCCCTTCTTTCTTCCTTTCTCTCTCCCTTGCTTCTTTTCCTTTCTCTCCCTCCCTCCCTTGCTTCCTTCCCTCACTCGTTCTCTCTTGCTTTCTTTCTTCTCTTCCCTCCTTCTCTTCCTTCTCTCCCCTCCCAACCAACTCCCAGGCTAAAGCAGTTCCCCTAAGTAGTTTGGACTACAGACATACATGTGCCACTGCGCCCAGCTCCATGTTCCCTTTCTTTCTCTGCCTCCTGCCCGCTCTCTTCTCTCTTTGTGTGACAGGTGCATGCACATAGGCATGCTCTGCATGTCTTCCTCCTGGTCATTCATTCCCCTTCTAGTTATGGCATGGCTTTCTCTATGCCTTCTAGAGCAGAAGCCTGGTTATTTTTTTCTCCTTTTCCCTTAGACCACATTCAGTCAGTTGCTGGTTCAGTATATATTTGGTGTTTGTAACATAACTTGATTACATTTTATCTTTTCAGTTTTCACTGCTTCAGTCCTAATTCAGCATTTTGTTGCTTTATGACCTAATGTCCTAAACTCTTTCTGAAGCTGGAACTGTTACTCTTCGCACCTACATTCAGTCTGTTCTTTGGCCTCCAATCCTTGCACTCCTACAGATCAACGGATGTGCCTCAGCCTATTATTCTGAAGCTGGCAGCAGTGTGACCTGGTGTGCTTGTCACTGTTAGCCTCTCCTGCTCTGCACAAGTGCTCCAGAGGTCTCCCGGGTCCCTGCTTCTGTACCTTTGCTCAAGAGTCCTTCTGCCCCTCGTTGTGTGCTGCACACCTCCACCTCGCCATATCTCCAGCATGCTCTTTGTCCTGAAGCTTTCACCAATCAGATATGTGTGATTTAAAAACCTTGAAGTATGAATAATATTTTTACATTCTGAGAACATCTTCTCTCTCTTTTAAGACAGCCTACCATGTACTATAGCTGTTTACGTTTTTTTATTGCCTCATTAACGTCTAACTTACATGTTTATAGTTTCACAATAGTGAAACTTCACTTCCCACCACTGCACTGAAAATACTGATCAAGGTATCATGGACCCTCCATCGTGCCCAGGAGTCACGTCTAGGTTCTGGGCCTTTCTGTGTCTTCCAGCAAATGCGGCTGAGCACTTCGCTCTTCCTGAGCTGTCTTCCTCTGGGGCCACCTGTGTCACCACCACAGTCCCCTTGCTTTTCTTCATCTTCATTGGCTATTCCTTTTCAAGAGCTGGATACTAAAACCTGGACTTTGTAGGATTTGGATTTGATATAGAGAATTTGATACAGAAAATGTCTGGAATAATAAAAGCCATTCCCAGCATATTCCTTAATTAGAAAATTTTTTTTAGTTTTGTTTACATATTATTAATGGCTATGATTCAGGTCACAAAGCTATTTTTTTTCAGACTTTCAATGATAATTCATTTTTGTGTGTGTTTTAAAAATACTGCCTTTCTTTATTTTCTTACTAACTTACTTGGATTTTAGCCTTTCTTTATTTTCTTACTAACTTACTTGGATGTTAGTAACTAGTTGTTCTTAGTGAATGCCACAGAGTGATGTTTTCAAACTTTGGACTTGATCAAGTTAGATGAGCTCCAGTAGCAATGAAGGAAGTGTTAACTAGTTTAATTGACAAATAGATGCTTCCCAGCTTGGTATGCTGTTGAGATTTTTGTTACAAGTTTGTGAATAAATTTAACTGCTTCTGCCCTGGGGACTGAAGTCAGATGTGTGGTTGTGGGAATCTTTTTCTTTCCCACAGCACCCTGCATTTTAAAAATTGTTGTGTGAGACAGTCCCACCATGTAATAGCCGTTCTTCCGTACTCAGCTACTTTCCCTGGAGAGGGGCCAGTAGAAAATCTAGACTAGCTTTTTGTAGTCTGTTTTCATGTCACCTATTGAGAGCTACTGTTTTCTGTTAAATTGTCAGTAAATATTTTAGTCAAGGAAAAGGGAGGTAATAGGAAGAAGAGAAGAACAAATCCTTAACCCTAGTAGGAACCTAATGAATGCAATTTGCTCTGGATAATTGCAGTAGTTCCCCAGCTAAAGACACTTAAAAATACAGCAGATATACCCAAGAGAAATGAAATCTTATGTTGATACAAAAGCTTGCTCATAGCAGTGTTACTGATAGTAGCCAAAGTATGGAGGCAACCCCAATGCCCGTGAGTATGACTCGGCCGCACAGAGGAATGCAGCACCGGCACCTGCAGCCGCACAGATGCTCCTCGGCTCCAGGCCGAGTGAAAGAAGCCGGACACAGGAGGCCATGTGCCATGTGACTATTTCTGGGAAATCTTGAGTAACCGTAGGCAAGATGCTACCACCTTTGTTCAGTGGCCAGAAGCGAGGATACTAATATTTGCCATTGCCAGGCTTTACTAGATTGAAGGGTTTCCAATAGGCCACAAATTTCTAACACAGTGACTTGTACATGTAGATATTTGATCAATATATATCAAATGAATATTGATTTAAACAAAAAAAGGCAAGTGTGAGTGCTTTCTAAACTTAAAGCTCTAAAGATACGAGGTTGATGGCATTAATTGATCCTGGTGTGTTATTTGAGGAAACTTTAAAATAATTTAGATGTTAAAGTTAATATATTTTATTGTGGAGGTGCTTTGTAACTAAATTATGGCCACGCTGAATTGACTTCTCCTCTAGGCCTTCCAGTATTGAAATACGTGCTCACACCACGGATAAAGGCAACTCACGTTGCTTTTGATTGCATGAAGAAGTATTTAGATGCAATTTATGATGTTACGGTGGTTTACGAAGGGAAAGACGATGGAGGGCAGCGAAGAGAGGCACCGACCATGACGGGTAAGTGTGTTCGTGCACCTGAAATGCCTGCCACGTGACACATACGCTGCCTGTGTTTATGTAGAATTAATTCAGCTTTACACAGTAAGTTAAGTGTACTTTTTTCCTTCATTACATTTACCAGGTATATTTTTCAAGATGTTATTAAGATGTAACAGTTGAAATTTCCTTATCTTGGCTGTCGTATTAGTCCTATGGACTCATCAATTATCATTCATCCAGCCTCTTTCTACCCAAAGTTCACCCATACAAATGGAAAGCTCCATAAAGGAGAGGAAGGCATGAGGAGCACATCCCCGGCAGTACCAAGGTGCACATTATTATCAGTGCTGCCCTTTTCACGGTATTTTTCATAAAATATTTATGACATTTGGTGTCGTTGTGACAAGAAGAAATACTGCTAAGTGTGACTTTTTTTTTTTTTTTAACATGCTGGGTTTTAAGAAACTTTGAGCTATTGTTAGATATAACCAGGAAAAAATAGAATTTTATGAGTTTTGTATTTATACCTCGTCAGCTGTTTGGGGTTAAGCTAACATGCCTGTCAGTGTGCTTGTATCAGTAGGGTCTACTGAAGGCAGATGCCCAAAATATGAGCCACCAGCACGTTTTGGTGGCTCATATTTTGTAAACCCTCTCCTGAGGCATTCCTCTGAAGTTGATGTGCCTTGGAAATTTTATGGAATAATATTTTTAGCTACAATGAAACATTTATGAAAGTAGACACTATTAAATCATTCGGAAGTGAGCAAGGATAGAAATTATTCTTCCCAACCTTACACATAGGCCTTCTAGATGTAGCACTGTGCATGATTACATTATCTAACACTGTGTGTATTCTTTGGATATCAGGGAGCTTTCCAAGTGCAGTGAGAGCATAGTTGTAAAATGATTACTCTGGGTGTGACAGAAAGATCAATCTTAAATAATGATAAGATGAGGCTCACTCAGGTTTTAGAAGAAAAGCTCTCAGAGAAAGAGAGAGCAGCTGCCTACCATAGAAAGTTAGGGAGTGAGGCTAGAGGAGTGAGGCCCGGGGGCTAGCTAACATAAAATCAGTTATGGTGAATGGAAAAAAAATCTGACATAGTTATATCTGAAAGATGATTGCTCTCATAATTGTGTATAACACAGAGTAACTGTAAAGTAGGAAGCTAAGGTATTTTTCATTTTAAGTGTAAACTTTTGGAATACATAATGCATCAGTTGAAGCATGAAAACTACAAAGTACACAGTGAAATGTCTTCCTTGCTTTCCACCCTGCCACCTGGCCTTCCCTTCTCCTTCCTAGCGTAATCACTTTTCTTAATTTGTTGTGCATTGTATGTGCAAATTTAAGTATGTATTCTTATTCTACCGTCCTTTCTTAGAAAAGGTGGCATTTTAATATTTTTCTCTTTTAAACTATCAAAGGAGTTATTTACCTATTTTTACATTTGAAAACAGACAATTATTTAGCAAAGTTGTCATTAGTTTATTAAACAAAATAAGATTAAACAAGTGATTATAACCAATGAAAAACAGACTTTAGAAAGCACTCACATTTGCCTTTTTTTTAAAAATCAATATTCATTTGATATATATTGATCAAATATCTACATGTACAAGTCATGTAGAAGTTTCTTAGAAGTTTGTGGCCTATTGGAAACCCTTCAATCTAGTAAATCCTGGCAAGGGCAAATATTAGACTTCCCATGATAACCTTGTTTAAATGCTGCTACTCTTATCATGTCCCCTCCTGTCTAAGAACTCCTCGATTTAGCAGAGTTCAAGGGGAATGCCAGCCTCTGTAGCCTGCTGTCCAAGGACTGATTTCAGCCCTGAGCTTGGCCTTGCCTTGGCTTCCTGAAGCCTCAGCTGTGGTGAACCTGGCTGACAGAGTCCTCCTACGCCCCATGCATATGCTGTAGTCAAAGACTTTTGTTGCCCTCACCCAAGCCTGCTGTTCCCTCAGAGTGTCAGGTGCTGCCTTTCCCAGCATAGCACTGGCGCTGTGCATTCTCCTGCCCTGCCCTCACAGCACTGTGGTGGCACTGACTGCATGTGCTAAGTGCCAGCACTTAGCACAGGGCTCAGTCCCTCTCTTCCCAGCTGTATCGCAAGTGCCTTGAGGAAGCAAAAACCCTCTTTGAGTTTCATTGCCTGCTTCCAACCTCCCACTGCCTTGCTTCTCCTCTGCTACATGTGAGCTGACTGTCGCTTTGGGGTGGTCACTGCCTATGTGTATTCATTACAAAGTGTCTGTCCTTTTGAAAGGTTGACCTTTCTGTCACACCTAGCTACCATATAGAAAATAAAATCTTATCACTTCAGTCAATTAAGGATAAAGTGTTTCTGAATTTAAGGAAAAATAAACTAGAGTAAAATCAGGACTGAAAGACAAACTAGGAAAATATTTCCAGCTTAGATAATAGAAAAGGGGTCATTTCCTTCATGTATAAAGTGCACGTACAAATTGATAAGAAGATGACTGATGACTTGAAAAAAATGGGTAAAGGATGAGAAAAGACATTTCACAAAAAATGTTTAGCCGCATTCAGAATAAGATAAGTGCGAATTAAAACTGCAGGAGATACCTTTGTTTTTTAATCCATTAGACTGGGAAACATCCCAAGGTTTGCTCATAGGCTCAGTGGGTGAGATTAAAGTATTAACAGGCATCTTTGTAACTTTGCAGTTAGGAGTGTAATATGGTATAACCTCTGCAGAAGTTGCTTTGGAAATGTCTCAGATGTACAAATGCATTCACAGTTTAGGTTTAGCATTCCCACTTCTGAGACACTATTCTACACGTATACCTGTGCGCATAAGACATAATCGTAACACGTTTTTCCTTCTAGTGTGTTGCTTTTAACCAGTAGCTTGAAAAACCCTGCTTTCATTGTTTTTTGTTTTCTGTCATTGGCTCAGCCCTGCTTTCAGTTGTTTATATGAATTGATGGGTGTTCTGGTCTGATTATAATCTATAGAGTAAGAGACACTTTATATGAAATCTGATATGTTGTGTTAGCAATAAAATTCTGTAACTTGGAATATTGTAAGTACTTTGCAGCCAGATTTCATTAGTATTAAATATTATCTCTATACATAGTGAGCTATTTAATATGCACAGTTTATGGTGCAATTAAGAAATAATTTTTTTCACAAAGCTGCCAGGTTGTTGATATGCCCTGGCCTCGTGTTTCTCAAAGCATTCTGGGGGAATTAGCTGCAGTGGCTGTTGGACATGCAGGACCTCTATTGCACTCCACGCTGCTGCCAGGATGCAGTGCAGGTGAGAGCTGGGAAGCTGGAGGAGCTGCAGTGCTGACAAACTCCATAGGAATTCTTGCGGTCACCTTAATGTGGCCTCACATTCAAGAGATAGGCAGCCAATAGTGTCCCTTGTCCTTCCCATTTTATGGTGTAAGTTTCATTTTAAAGGAGGTATAAATCAAAGCCCACTTGAGCATTCTATCATGGTTCACTGGTTCTTGTCATCCTGAAAGATGTCATTGTGGCAGACATGAGACAGGGTAGTTAGATTACTACTGATTTTTTTAAAAATCCCATTTCTGGCCCCATCTAAGATGGCGGAGTAGGAGCATGTCTGGATTGCAGCTCCCAGCAACAGTGCGGAGGGGGAGTGGTCACCGCATTTTCAGACAGATTTTTATTGCCTATAGCCCAGGAGATTTCCCCAGGTGGAGGAGCGTGACGGGTCTACAGCACGACTGTTTCGGCCAGTGTAGTCGGTCTCCACACAGAAACTCATACAGATCCAGGTACTTTTTCAACAGGCGAGACTGGAACACCTGGGAGACAGAGTCACCCATTCAACTGATAAAAAGGGCACTGAAACAGGGAGCCAGGCCAAGAGATTCCCGGATGAAAAAGCGCCACGAGTCTCCAGCACAGCTATTTCAGCCAGCTCAGTGGGTCTCCACACAAGAACTCACACAAATCCGGGCACCATTTCAACTGGTGACTGGAATGCCTGGGAGACAGAGTCACCCCTTCAACTGAAGACAAAGGGGTCTGAGGCAGGGAGCCAGGTGATCAGGCTCAGCCAGTCCTACCCCCCACAAAGACCAGCAATCTGAAACACTCTGGAGAGTTTCACAGCAAGCACAGCTGAACCCAGGACGGTCTAGCTCTGTGGGATGAAGAGAGGTAGTCCACCACTAGCAAGGCAGCCTGCCATCACCGAGAGAGTCCGCCATTACAGAGGTGGGCCGCCATTGCCGAGACAGTTCTAACTATACCCCTATAAACAGGACTGCAGGGAAGTTCACAGGGCAGCTGGGCGGAGCCTCAGCAATGCCTCTGCTTGCAGACTGTGACTAGGCTGCCTCCTAGCTGGGCAGGGCATCCCTGAAAAAAGGCAGCAGTGTGACAGAAACTTATAAATAAAGCCATACCTTCCTGGGACAGAGCACGTGGGGAAAAAAAGGCGGTTATGAGTTCTGCTGCAGCAGACTTAAACATACCTGCCCAACAGCTCTGAATGGTACAACGGAGCTCACAGCTCAGCAGTTGAGCTCCTATAAAGGACAGACTGTCTCCTCAAGCATCTCCCTGACCCCCATGTATCCAAAGAGTCACCTCATAAAGGAGAGCTCATGCTGACACCTGGCGGGTATCCTTCTGGAACAAAGATAGCAGAAGAAGAAACTGGCAACAACCCTTACTGTTCTGCAGCTGCTGCAGGTGATCCCCAGGCAAGCAGGATCTGGAGTGGCCCTCCAGCAGTCCCATAGCAGAGGGGCCTGACTATTAGAAGGAAAACTAAGAAACAGAAAGAAATAACTTCATCATCAACAAACAGGATGTCTACTCAGAGACCCCATCTGAAAGTCACCAACTACAAAGATCACAGGTAAATAAATCCACAAAGATGGGAAGAAACCAGAGCAAAAAGGATGAAAATACCCAAAACCAGAATGCCTCTCTCCTCCTCCAAGGAATCACAACTCCTCACCAGCAAGGGAACAAGGCTGGATGGAAAATGAGTCTGATGA